CGCCCCTGATGGTAACTAACTCTAGGTGAGCAAAGGTTAGTGTAGAGCTGTTGGCATTTGAACATCTTTATCCTTTTCTATCCTATTGTAAGCCCTGGATTGCCAGTGTGCATCCCATCTTCTTCTGTCTTCATCTGAGTCATCCATATTCAAAGTGACACCTGTTTTAGAAAACAGTCAAAAAGCTGATGACTACATCATTCCAGTGAAATTCTATAAACTGTACAGAGTTGTTTCATGTGGAAATAAGATTACCCCGAGATACTTCATATCTAATTCAGTTTTGCAAACCACAAGATGGGCTACATCTGTTGTAATTACTATGGTTGATAATGTATTAATAAGGTTGATAATGATAATGATTTCTCCTGATCTCTATTTATATGGTACATCTTAGATTGGTAGAGTGTTGTATCATGTTAGCCATTGATTCACGCAGAAAGCTTGGAAAGCCTAAAGTAATCTAAATTATCCCAACAGCTTGCATCTTTAACCACTTCCCATGTACATAAACGGCCGGACGGGAGCAGTGCAGGAGCAGGTGGCCATTTATAAACGTCCTCCCGCATTGCCTGCCTGTGCGCGCTCCCTGGGAGTGCACGACACCACGATCTGGAACACCGATTGCTGTACGGGACTTCTGTGTGAGGTCCCAATCATGTGATCACTGATTGGCCAATCAGTGATCACATGAATAGTAGTAAGCAAGATGTCACTTCTGACATCATTGCTTACTACTAGTGAAATCTGTGAATGATCACAGAGGTCACATGGTACAGGGCTATTCACAACAGCCTTGTAACATGTGACAAGCTGTGACCAATCACAGCTCTCACAGTATCTGTCAATGGCTGCAAGAATGCAGCCAGAGAGGAGAAATGATTGCTTTTACAGCCTTTATGGGTGTAAAAGCAATCAGTGTGAAAAAAAAAATTTTCATCACCTCCCACAAGTAGTACTATGGTGACACTGTACTGCTAGGGTGACAGCATGTTAAAAAAAAAAAAACTTAAATAATAATATAAAAATAAAATAAAAATGTAAAAAAAAAGTTTGAAAAATTATCATTTTTGGTTATAAACTAATTTGGGTTATTTATCTTTTTTTACTAAAAAGATAGCTGAATACATTTTTGGCCAATGTTTATGAAGAAATATTATTTATTTGCAATAGAAAAACACTTTTTTTTTCAAAATGTTTGGACTTTTTCATTTCTATAGCAAAAAAATAAAAATTCCAGTGGTGAATAAATACCACCAAAATAATGTTTTATCTGGCTCAAAGAAATGCTAAAAAATTCATATGGGTACAGTGTTGACCGCGCAATTGTCATTCAAAGTGTGCTAGCACATAAAGCTGAAAATTGGTCTGGACAAGAAGGGGGTGAAAGTGTCCGGACTTGAAGTGGTTAATTAGTTTTATTAATATTATAGAGGATTTACTGTAGATAGCGCCAACAGTTTGCGCAGCACTTTACAATATAAGGAGAGTACAATGACAATACAGTTCAATAGGGAATGAGTAGTGTAGAACTTACAATCTAAAAGGAGGGGAGAGGTGATATAAAAGGTAATAGCTTATCAAAAATTTCTATCAATACCAGGGGCGGACTGACCATTTGGAAACTCGGGCACTGCCCGAGGGCCGGGGTCAGTAGGGGGCCCCATGAGTTGCCCCTGGTACCTTTTTCAAGTTTGGGCAAGGACACAGGGGCCCCATGATCCCCTATTGCCTGGGGGCCCCATGAGTTGTCAGTCCGCCCCTGATCAATACTACTCTAATTGAAGCAAATTATAAAACTTTGCTGCGATGGTATTTGGTTCCTGCTCGGATTGCGAGGATGCATCCGTCTGCTTCTGCGATGTGTTTTAGGCGCTGTGGCCGGGTGGGGTCTATGTATCAAATCTGGTAGCCACTTGCAATTAGATTTTGGATTTGCATATTTAACTTGGTAAATTCAGTGACGGGAGTAAATATACGCAGATCCCGGAGACGGCGCTCTTTTATAAATTCCCTGATAATGTTCCCAAGAAATCCCATAAGCTGATCTCTTACATGTTTCTGGCAGCGAGAATCACCATAGCTAGACATTGGAAGCAATCGGCTATTCCACTTGATTATGTTAAAAAGAAACTAAACTGGATTATGGTCAATGACAAGCTCACCTGTATCCTGCAAAATGCTTCGAAGAAATTTGTATGGAACCCGTGGATTCAATACATCTCTGTGCCTTAATGTCTCCTATCTTGACCCTCTCTTCCAATCTTTTCTTTGCTTTCATTGTTCCTTTCCCCTGTTCTGTATTGTTTTTTATATATTGTCGAGGCGAAATACACCTGCTCTCGTTTTGGTTATACTAAGCGTTTTGCCTTAAACCGTCAGTTGTTCATGGTACAATTTGTTGTTCCTAGTACCTTATATTTGTATGTATGATGGTACACTATTTGCTTGTACTATCTGTTGTTGTTGTTGTAAAAATTACATAATAAAAACCATTGGAAACCAAAAGGTAATATTTGTGGAGGATGAACTGATAGGAGTGGTTGATGCAGGGGCGGACTGACCATTCGGGCACTCGGGCACTGCCCAAGGGCCCGGGGTCAGTAGGGGGCCCCATGAGATGCCCCTGGTACCTTCCATAAGCTTTTTTGGGTGTAGTTTGAGTGTGGGTGAGGACACAGGGGCCCCATGATCCCCTATTGCTTGGGGGCCCCATGAGTTGTACAATTCTTAGGTAAGTTGGGGTAGGTTTCTCTGATTCACCGCCTTTCTGATTAACCACCTCCCTCCCGCCATATAATGAAATGACAGGCGCAAGGCGGTTCTCTCATTCCAGGAGGATGTCATATGACGTCCTCCCACTTTAACCGTGCGTGCGCGCCCCCCGGGGCACACAGCGCAGCGATCGGTGGTGCAGTGTCCCTGGAACACAGCGGATCACCGTTCAGCAAAAAGAGCCGATGACTTCAGCTTGGTCATGTGATCAGCTGTGTCCAATCACAGCTGATTGCATGTAAATAAGGAAATGTCGGTTATCGGCAGTACTCTCCTGACAGCTCGTGAGGAGAGGAGAGCCGGTAATCAGCATTCCTCAGAGGGGACATGTACACTGATCATCAGGGCAGTGATGATCAGTGCCCTGATGATCAGTGTAGCCCCATCAGTGCCACCTGTCAGTGTCCATCAATGCCACCTGTCATTGTCTATCAATGCCACCTGTTAGTGCCTATCAATGCCACCTGTCAGTGCATATCAATGCCACATATCAGTGTCTATCAGTGCCCATCTGAGCTGCCTTTCAGTGCCAACTATCAGTGCCAATCAGTGCCACCTGTCAGTGCCCGTCAGTGCAACCTAACAATTCCAATCAGTGCCACCTAACAGTGCCAGTCAGTGCCACCTACCTGTCAGTGCCACCTGTCAGTGCCACCAGTCAGTGCCATATATGAGTACTGCCTTTCAGTGCCCATCAGTGATGCCTGTCAATGCCCATCAGTGCCACCTACCAGTACCTCCTCAGCAGTGCCCATCAGTGTCGCCTATCAGTGCCCATCAGTGCTGCCTATCAGTGCCCATCAGTGCTGCCTATCAGTGTCCATCAGTGCTGCCTATCAGTGCCCATCACTGCAGCCTCATCAGCGCACATCAGTGAAGGAGAAAAATTACTAATTTACAAAATTTTATAACAGAAACTAAGAAAAAAAACTTTTCTTTTCAAAATTTTCAGTTGTTTTTGGTTTATTTATCAAAATATAAAAAACCCAGAGGTGATTAAATACCACCAAAATAAAGCTCTAACTATCTAAAAAAAACTGATAAAAATTTCATATGAGTACAGTGTTGCATGACCGCGCAATTGTCATTCAAAGTGCGACACCGCTGAAAGCTGAAAATTGGCCTGGGCAGGAAGGGGGTGAAAGTGCCCTGTAGGCAAGTGGTTAACCTCCTCGGCGGTATGATTATTTCAGATTTTTGGTGCTGAAATCGGTACCCATTTTTTTGCATGGAAATATGTAGTTTTTTTATTGTAGGCCTGTAATTTAGGAATAACTCACTGAAATCTGTCCGAACAAGAGTCTAGTAAACATTCCGGATATGATAAAACTTGAAACACGAAATCATAAATTATAATTTAATAAATAATCATAAAAAATAACAATATAATAATAATAAACTTAATTCAATAATATAATCAAACCAAAAACACTGAAATTTGAAATAGTGCCAAGTTCGCACATCACTGAGCAAAGACGCAGAATCGTTTTCAGTGTCTGATGACAAATTTCCCCCACGAATAATTATCACTCAATTCTGCAAGTGGTTCTGATTTACTATTGCTGTTCTCTAGTTGGTCTAAAACCGATTTTGACATAAAGGGACACTTTTTGGATGCCATGGACTTTTCTAAGTTCCCAGGCAGAAAGAACAGTCAAAATGCAGGCAGGGCACAGGACAAAGCAGTAGGGACAAAATGTATGTGAAATGGTTTGAAACAGCAATGTTTTACTATGTAAAAATATCTTTAAAAAAAAATTCATTTTTTAACATTTTCAAATTTGCCGCCGGTTCTGGCGCCCGTACGTTCTGACGTCACAGGGACCGGAACACGGAAGCCGGATGCCGGCATCGGCCGGGGGAGATGGACGGGGACGCTGCAAGAGGGACATCGCGGGAGCAAAGGACAAGGTAAGCGCTGCAGTGAATCCCTGAGCAACGCCGCATGGTAAGCTCGAGTGTAGCTCGGGGTTACCGCTTTTGGTACTGAAACTCTACCCCGAGCTACACTCGGGAATACCGCCAGGGAGGTTAAATTAGTTTTTTTAGGGAACAGCTATAGGCAGACAAGGTAGGGGCTAAATGGACAGATTGGAGAAGATAAAGAAATGAAAGTGCATTTGCAGACTGTTTGGAGTGGAGCGTTAGTGTTTGCACATGACTTTATGGTTGTGCCTTAGTTAACCCACTTGCCCTCTAGAGGATTTACCCCCCTTCCTGACCAGACCATTTTTTGCAATACGCCACTGCATTACTTTAACTGACAATTGCGCGGTCATGCAAAGCTGCACTCAAATGAATTTTAAGTCCTTTGTTCCCCACAAATTATTATTATTATTATACAGGATTTATATAGCGCCAACAGTTTGCTCAGCGCTTTACAATATAACGGGAGACAATACAGCAACAATACAGTTCAATACAAGAGGGATAGGAGGGCCCTGCTCCTTGGAGCTTACAATCTAGGAGGGAGGGGCTAGCGGTACAAAAGGTAGTAACTGTGGGGGATGGACTGGTTGGAAGAGTAGAAGATTCCATTATTAGCTGAGGGCAGGATAGGCTTCCCTGAAGAGATAGGTTTTCAGAGATCGCCTAAAAGTGAGCAGAGTAGGCGATAGTCTGATAAATTGGGGTAGAGAGTTCCAGAGGATGGGGGAAACTCTGGAGAAGTCCTGGAGATGAGCATAGGAGGAGATGACAAGGGAGCTAGAGAGTAGGAGGTCTTGCGAGGAGCGAAGAATACAGTTTGGGTGATATTTGGAGACAAGATTGGTGATGTAATTTGGGGCAGAGTTATAAATGGCTTTATATGTTATTGTTAATGTTTTGAATTTTATCCATTGGGCAATGGGAAGCCAGTGGAGGGATTGGCAGAGAGGGGTGGCTGATACAGAACGGTTAGTAAGGTGGATGAGTCTGGCAGCAGCATTCATGATAGACTGAAGAGGGGATAGCCTGCGATGAGGTAGGCCAATGAGCAGGGAGCAGGGGCGGACTGACCATTTGGGAACTCGGGCACTGCCCGAGGGCCAGGGGTCAGTAGGGGGCCCCATGAGATGCTCCTGGTACCTTTCATAGGCTTTTTTGGGTTTGGTTTAAGTGTGGGTGAGGACACAGGGGCCCCACGATCCCCTATTGCCCGGGGGCCCCATGAGTTGTCAGTCCGCCCCTGGGAGGGAGTTACAATAGTCAAGGCGAGATATAACAAGGGAGTGAATAGGTTGCTTAGTGGTTAGGAACGACCGTATCGTGGAGATGTTGCGGAGGTGAAGTCTACAAGATTTGGAGGCTGAAAGGACAGATGGAAGTCTAGGATTACACCTAGTACCCTGGCATGAGGGGAGGGACTGATGGTTGTATTATTGATCTTGATGGAGAAGTCAGGGGAGGGGGGGCACGGGTTGGAGGGAATACTAAGAGCTCAGTTTTGGAAAGATTGAGATTGAGGAAGTGGAGTGACATCCATGCCGATATGTCACTTAGCAGGTTAGTAATGCGAGTGGAGACTGAAGGGGGGTGAGGGGAGGGGTAGAAAGATAGATTTGTGTGTCATCAGCATAGAGATGGTACTTAAAGCCATGGGAGTTTATCAAGTGACCAAGGGAGGAGGTGTAGATGGAGAAGAGTAGGCGCCCAAGGACGGAACCTTGAGGGACCCCTACAGAAAGAGGAGTGAAGAGGAGGAGGCAGCGTTATAGGTAACACTGAAGGAGTGTTGCGATAGGTAGGAGGAGAGCCAGGAGAGAGCAGAGTCTCAGAGGCCAAGAGAGTGGAGTTTTTTGAGGAGGAGGGGATGGTCAACTGTATCAAAAGCCGCAGAGAGGTCAAGTAGTAAGAGTATGGAGTAGTGGCCATTGGTTTTAGCTGTTAGTAGATCATTAGTGAGTTTTAGTAGAGCAGTTTCAGTGGAGTGTAGTGAGCGAAAGCCAGACTGTAGAGGGTCAAGAAGGTTGTTCTCGGTGAGGTGGGAGCTCAGACGATTGTAGACTAAGCGTTCTAGGAGTTTAGAGGTAAATGGCAGCAGGGAGATGGGTCTTAAGTTGTTCAGGTTGGTGGGTTCCAGGGAGGGCTTTTTAAATATGGAAGTGATGTGTGCATGCTTTAGAGGGGAGGGGAAGACACCAGTAGAGAGGGAAAGATTGAAGATGTGAGTGAGGGAGCATAGGATGGAAGAAGAAGGGTGACCGTAGTAGTTGTGAGGGGACAGGATTCAGGCGGCAGGTAGTGAGACGGGCGTCTGAGAAAACCTTAGTGGCCTCTTCGGTAGTAGCAAGGTCAAAAGAGGAAAGTGTTGAGGGAGGTTTAGTATAAGGTATACTAAGTGGGATAGATGTCTGTGTAGTGGAGATGCCCCTACGAATTGCGTCAATCTTGTTTTCGAAATGATTTCCAATCTCGTGAGCAGTGAGTGAGGTACTGGGTGGAGGTGGAGAAAGTAGAGAGTTGAAAGTAGATAAGAGATGACGAGGACTGGATGACAAGGTATTAATAAGAGTGACAAAGTAGGCTTGTTTGGCAGCATGAAGGGAGGAATTGTATGTTAAGAAAGTAGATTTATATCGGGTGAATGCTTGTTGAGATTTGGTTTTACGCCACAATCGCTCTAGCGCACGACTATGTCGTTTAAGATTTCTGGTGTTGTCAGTCTGCCAAGGTTGTAATGGTCGGGGCCTGATGCTTCGTGTTGTTAGAAGAGCAAGTGAGTCTAATGTGGATGAAAGCAAACTGTTGTAGACAGTAGTGGCCAGGTCAGGGCAGGACAGGGGAGAGATTCTGTCATAGAGTCGGTCAGTTGCAGAGTGACAAAGTAGACAAATATAACTTTCTTCCAGCTAGTATTTGATTGCCTGTGCATTTTTTTATTTTTTGCACTATAAACATAAAAAGATTGACAATTTTGAAAAACAAAAAAAACTATATTTTTGACATTTTGCTATCAAACATGTCCGTAAAAAAATTTTAAAAATCAAATTTCATCATAAATTTACGCCAAAATGTATTCTGCTACATGTCTTTGCTAAAAAAAATCCCAGTATGTGTAAATTAATTGGTTTACTGGAAAATTATAATGTTTACAAATGGTGGTATATATACTGAAATGTTTTTTAAATTTTTATTTACTAGTAATGGCGGCGATCAGCGACTTATAACAGGACTGCGGCAGGCATTCTGACACTGAGGGGAACTGAGTTGGTGTTACTGACATCCCCAGTGACACCAATACAGTGATCAGCGCTAATAAAAAGCACCGACACTGTACTCATGGCACTGGGCAGGAAGGCGTTAACATGTGGGGTGATCAAAGGGTTAAGTGTATGCTGTGTGCTGTTTTACATAATGTGCTGTGTGTGTGCTTTACACTGTAAGCACACTGCTTTGTATGGCTCTGCTATGCAGAGCCATACAAAACAGTGTGCAAGAGCTGACGGGAGAGATCTGTATTTTTTTTTATTATAGTTTTTATTAATTTTAATTAACATACATTATTTCACATTATACAACAATATTTTTCCATAACAAAAATGTTTACACTAAACAAACAAAGAACTAAAAACCCTAAACACCACCCTCCC